ATGTATGGTGATTAACATAATAAAAAAATTAAAAAAAAAAACCATCATCTTGTGCCAGAACATTTTCATCACCCACATAGATACCCGGACTCAGGAAGCAGTCACTGCCCATTTCCCCCTTACCCGGGCTCTGGCTACCGCTAATCTGCATTCTGTTTCTGTAGATTTATCTACTTGTGAAGTTTCAAGTTAATGTGGAAATGCAAAGATATAAAATGAAGCCACTTGCAGAGAAACAAGAGTTGGAAGTCACTCCAAAACATGAGGGTTTAGACTGGGGGGAGACTTGGTGACACACATTTGCTTCACCCTAGTACTGACCCTGGTAAAGACTTACTATAAACTAGAGCAAATGACAGGAAACTGGTGTAAGGTACACGAAGGACCCATGAGACAGAATGCGGCCAGCTCACTAGAGCTTGCATCCTACAGCACAGAGTCAGCATTCTACAGCACAGAGCTGTGGGAAAGAGCAGTCTTCCATAAATGGTGCTGCATCAATTGCATATCCACACAAAAAATAAACTCGGATCCCTGCATCACAGCACACACAACTGATCGGAGATTGATTATAATCTTAATTGTGAGAGGCAAGTCAATAAAGCTCATAAAAAGAAAAATAAAGACTATCCCCATTCTTGGAAATAATCAAGATAATGTAGCAGCCGTAAAGGTAAAAACTGATCACCCAAATGTGATTTTAAATTGGGACCTTAGGGGGCGCCTGTGTGGCTCAGTCGTTAAGCGTCTGCCTTCGGCTCAGGTCATGATCTCAGGGTCCTGGGATCAAGCCCCGCATCAGGCTCCCTGCTCAGGGGGAAGCCTGCTTCTCCCTCTCCCACTCCCCCTGCTTGTGTTCCCTCTCGCTGTGTCTCTCTCTGTCAAGTAAATAAATAAAATCTTAAAAAAAATTGGGACCTTAGGTTTATCCAAAAAAAGAAAAAAGCATGAAAACTAAAAGGACAGCATCAAGCTACAAGCTGGGAGGATACGCACTCAAAAGACATATATTTTGAAATATATATTTTCAGAAGGAATGTAATGCATGCAAGGAATTCCAGCGAGTGTGTGTTAAAACAAAATAGAACTCCATGGAAAGAAATCAGAAAATTGGAAAAGGCACCTCAAAAAAGAGAATGACCAATAAGCACACGGAAAAGGCATTCAACCTCTTTAGACCTGAGGGAAATGCAAATTAAGAACCTAATGATATGGGACGCCTGGGTGGCTCAGTCAGTTAAGTGTCTGCCTTTGGCTCAAGTCACAGGGTCTTAGGATCAAGTCCCAAGTTGGGCTCCCTGCTCAGTGGAGAGCTTGCTTCTCCCTCTCCCTCTGCTGCTCCCCCTGCTTGTGCTTGCTCTCTCTCTTGCTCTCTCTGTCAAAAAATAAATAAAAACTTTTTAAAAAATTATGATGGTTAATATTAACATATATAAACAACTGGAGATTTATATGTATGTATACACAAGTGCACATACAAATGCAAACACATTTTCAAAAATTAAGAGGAAATTAGCATAGCTTTTTTACTCAGAAATGACAGAATCAGAGAGGGGAAACAAACCATGAGAGACTTTTGACTTCAGGAAACAAACTGAGAGTTACAGAAGTGGGGGGTGGGGATGGGGGATGGGGTAACCGGGTGATGGGCATTAAGGAGGGCACATGATGTGATGAGCACTGGGTGTTATATGCAACTAATGAATCATTGAACACTGCATCAAAAACTAATGATATACTATATGTTAGCTAATTGAATTTAAATTAAAATAAAATATTCTAATGCAAAAAGTGACAGAATTAAGCAAAGGGTGAAATATGATTGCATTAAATGTTCACATTATAAATGTAACACCTCTAACTGGATAATTTCCTTCACATGTTTCTGTAATCCCTGTCTTTTTAAGGAGCTATTATGATAATTAACATCTGAGTATTTTCTATCTGCTGTGGACTATTATAGGCTCTTCCGTAGATCCCATTAAATCCTTGCAAAGTGTGATCGGGTAAATTCTATTATCTGTGCTTCTCGTGGTGCATCGGAGGCCTAGGGCCATGGTTCCCCAAATGTGGCCCTCAGACCAGCTGCATCTTCTGGGAGCTTGTGGAAAACAAGCCTCACATGGAGCTGTGCAAACACAGAGGCTCCTTCCCTGGGTGATATGCCCTTTGATCATGGCAGTAGACACAACCTTGGTGTAGCCACTGTGAAGAGGTTTGCTCCCTCGCCCCCGAAGGAATGGGTTCAGAAAAGAAGGGGGTCAGCAGCTGGAAATGTGCAGAGTCAGATAAAAGCAGCCCTTGAGAGGCAGCCTTGGAGAAAGGGCAGCAAGTGGGTTGGCAAAGGAGCCGAATCCCCATGGGCTCCGGGTTGGAGGTGCAGGCCTTGGTTTTGAATAGGGGTCAGTGACACAGGAGGAAGACCAGGCTTTGTAAAAGCAAGGCCCCTTGGGCAAGGAGCTAGCAATAGGCTGCACCCTAAAACTACAAAATTGTTAGGTGCCACACGCATAATTAGCAGCAGCTCATCCTTGATGCTCTGTCACCACAAGTATTGGGGGGTAATACCCGTAAATTGCATGAGCACACGGCGGTCCTTCCGTCTACATGACCTGTGACAACACGCCTGTCTTTGCGAATCTAGGATGCCATCCCAAATTACAGACAGAAGACCGTGCTCAGCTCACAGGCAGGGTGCCCTGTCCGTGGTGACCGTGGCAACACAAGGATAGCGCACGTGAGCATGAAGGTGCTGTGTGGGGTGAGGAAGAGGTTCTGACTTTGGTCTGGGGGATGGTTGCATAACTCTAAATCTGTTTAAAAAATTGTTCCCTTAAAATGGGCGGATTTTACAGGATGATTACACCTCAATGGACACTTTAGAATAACTTAAGAAAAAAAATTACATCTGGAATCACAATGTCTGCTCCAAATCTGTTTTCTCATACTTAGAGACTTCAGCTGGAGGACCTCAAAAACCCTTCTAAAAGCCTCAGGCCACCCATTAAGCTTGCAAAGTTCTGTGGTAGAGACTCAACCAAGCACTGCTGTTTACTTCAATAGGTACAAGGACTGGAATATATCAACAATACTGTGGTGAGCACAGCATAGTGCATAACTTGTGGATCACTGTGTCGTACATCTGAAACTAATATAATATTGTGTGTCAACTATACTCAAATAAAGGAAAGAAAAAATATCATAAGTAAAACAAAAATTAGAACTGGCACTCACCTCTCTTAGGCTTGGTTTACTTGCAGCCTGAGGGTATTCTATGCAAACAAAATCTCCAATAAGAATTACTCTGCTGGCCCAAGCTCGACGACTGGCTGGCAGGACCCTGGGTGGGGTCAGGTCTTCCTGCCCAGGATGAAATTGCTCCCACTATGATTACCAAGGGGTGGTTTTCAATCTTTAAAAAATGAGACCCACATTGAAATTACCTGGAGCCTCTTTCAGGGATCCTAATTGAATTGGTCTGGGGTGGGCTTCCAGGAAGCAGGGGGCTTTACGATCTTCCCAGGCAGTTCTAATGTGCACTCTCTGTCCTAGACCATCTGGATCAGGGTTTCCAACTTCCACACCATCAACATTTTGAGATGGATGATTCTTTGCTGAGGGGACCATCCTGCGCCTCTGCCGGATGTTTACCAGCAGCCTTGGCCACCACTCCCTCGATATCAATTACACCCTCCTGTTTTGACCACCAGAAATGTCTCCAAACATTGCCAAATGTCCCATGGGGGGCGAAATCACCCTGTTTCAGAATCGCTGATGTAGCTGCAATTAGCTGCCTCCTGCCTTCATACCAAGTATATTAAGATTCATCCATACTCTATGTTAACTAAAATTCATCATAACGGTCAAGTTCATTCATTCTATGGTTGATGGTATTGATTTATGTTGACATTTAAATGTGTATTCATTTGACTTATTTTGTATTAATTCTTATGTGTATTAATTTTGAAGGAGGTACGATTAACGTTTCACTTTTACTGATGTTAAAAACTAATGCTCAGGGGCGCCTGGGTGGCTCAAGTATTTAAGCATCTGCCTTTGGCTCAGGTCATGATCCCAGGATCCTGGGATCGAATCCCGCATCAGGCTCCCTGATCAGCAGGGAGTCTGCTTCTTGTTCTTCCTCTCCCCTGCCTCTCGCCCCCACCCCCCACTCATGTTCTCTCTCTCTCTGTCTCAGGTAAATAAAACAAAATCTTATTGCTGATGCTAGAACTTCTAGCACTATACTGAACAGTAGTGGT